AACCTGCTTCAGGCTGTAAGAACATTGCTCTTTTCAAGAGTGAAAAGTCACCAAAACCTGCAGGACTTCCTGCAAGTGGGAATTCACCAAATGGCACCAGAAAATTCAGTGGGTTCCAGGGAAGAACAACTTGCAGGAACCTCAAAAGTGTTCTTCAAATATTAGTGCCATGTTTACAACAGGTAGAGTCTTTCTTTCAGACCTCCACACCAGAAAAAAAGCCTGTATATTTATCTACAGGCTCTCTGAGAATGCAAAATAATTTGGTTGCCTGAATGAAAAACTCAGCCAAGTATCTGGAGAGGAGAAAATTAACACATAAATAGTGTGCAAACGTCAACCTGGTACTTCACTTGAAGTACATTTTAGATCATTTGGAAAGTGCATTTTTCTGCCACAACTTGTAAGCCTTTTGAAAAGTCCTGCATTTTCTTCAGGATAATCTATTCTCTGCCATCTGAGAGGGAAAGACACGAATAAAAAAAATGCTCAGACTGAAGCACCACACAGCAACCCCCATCAACCAACACCAAATGTGAAAGGGCATTTGCACCAAGGCACTTTTCAAAATGCCTTTGTCTTGACAGCAGTTTCCAGATGAATCACACTTGTTCATCCTTGTCCAACCCTCCCTGCCCACTGCTGAGCAGCCCAGGCAGAGCCCACCCAGAACTGCAGACCTGCAGGTGGAACAGGCAGCACCTGCACTGCCCCATCTAACTACAGGAACAGCCCCAACATTCTCTGGACACCCTGGGAGCCAAGGAGGGCCACACATTTCTGCCTCCAGGTGATGTTAGCGAGGGGAGAGCTCTTTCCAGAGAAGGAGAAACTCCTTGGCATTGCACCTGAGAGCACCTGCTTTTCCCCCTTTTTAAGGAAATTTGGAAAAGACAGAAAGTGATGTCCTTTGTTTTACCAACATGTGAGGTGGTGAAACACACTGGTGGCTATTTCTAGAATTTATGTTAGAGACAGATTTTCCCTAAGGAATTAACAAGTAACCTAATTTTGTGCATTACTAATTACTCCAGATTTTACTTTATATTTACCAGGGAAAGTGGAAGGGGGAATTTTTATCTCAGTCATGTTTTTCTGGATACTGCCAGTGACTCCACCTTCCTCCAAATCAATATTATTTTTTATTAGTCCCTGATTGATTTGACTCACACAAATAGGGACAGACTTGCAGCAGCAGCTCATGATAATAAAGTCAAAGGCAAATAAAAGACTGGGCTAGATTTAGTGGAAACAGAGAATAAGAATTGTACAACAATCCTAAAATCCTTGAAAGAAATGAAAAACATTAGAAATTTAGAACTATAAATCAATTTCTAATGAAGACAGCAGGAAAAAAAAGCATAATTATGATGCATAAAACACAAGTTGAAATTATTAAAAGAAAAAAAAAAGGCAGAATGAGTTTAATAAATCAGTTTAATGCAAAATAATTGATTGATTTCTTGTTAAGGTACATAATGACTCAACAGGTATTTTACCTGTGTTTTTTCCATTAACTTAAAACATGCTAAAGCATTCTGATGATAGAAAATTTCAGAAGGATATTGTAACTTCAGAGCCCCACAGCAGTTAAGAAAATAACAGAAAATTTAAAAAATTAATTTTCTCTGAAATAAGTTACTGAATTCCCATTTACAGAGGAAGGACAGTTCTGTCTGTGGTAAATCATAATGTGTAAATACTGAAGTTAATGCTAAGAAACATGGTGCCATTTTAAGAAAAAAAATGCAATTTTCACTCCTAGAATATTAATTCAGTAGTGAAAAAAAGTTCAGAGACAGGCAGCCAAAAATACTTGAAGCAGAAAATTTGATAAAGAAACTATTTGGACTATTTAATTTATGGTAATGATTAATAAAGGCTTAAGACAAAAAAAATTATGAATGGCATAAAGCAAATTAACACTCCCATTAATCTTCTCTTATACAAGGCCAAGCCTATGTTAAATGATGCATTTACTGATTAAACTTAAGACCAATTAAAAGGATTTCTTCAACATTCAGTATTTGCTACAAAATATTAATTATAAAAGAGAAAAATGAGAAATAAGAGATGCAGAAATAGAGCCCTATGCATTTAAATCTCTCAAATATAAATGTTCATCTGCTGGTTTGTTTCACAAATAACAGATACAAAACAGATTACAGCACAACACAAAGTCAAGGTTTCATGAGCATGCACATTTCAATGGTTTGACACTAATAACTATCACCCTCATTCCAATTTTGGACCCCTCTCCTTTGGCCCTCAGTCTTCCAGATGGAAATTTACTGCTGTTGTTCTATGGCCTGATGAATTTGCCTCCCATTACACACTGCACTTTAGGCTGAATTTCCTGGTGATGCACACTTGCAAGAGACACTCCCCCCCCATAATATTCCAAAAACCCCTAGCCAAATCCCACACTTTATATATTCTTCAGTATGATTCTTCAGTTGCAGAATAAAAATACAGAGTTAACCACATATTATTATCAAAGGAAAAATAGTTCTGAAGGAATTCTTTAGAAATAAACAATCAAATGGTCCTCACCACAATTCACTTCATAGTTATGAGGACATGAAAAAACTACATGGTTTGCTGTCTTTTCTAGGGCAGGAGAGGTAAGGCAGTTCTTCATATCATTTTTCTGTGACATTGAAAAGATTGTTGCTAGCCTGTCTTACCATCTGTAAAGAATTTCTTGATGGAGTGAGCAATCTGAAGCAATGAACCATATTATCCACATAGAGTAACTCCACGGAATGGAAGAAGTATGTTTTCTGCATTTGTAAATGGAATTATGTACGGAAGAGTGTAAGTAAGAAATCTGCTGAGAGATGATGAGGAATGGATTACAGTGGAACAATGCTTAATTAAAGACTTGTAAGCATCTTTCACTATTGTTGAGAAAAATCCAATTAAGGAATGGATTACATTACTTCATGCTTCATTACCTTGCTAGCACCTACAATTAATTGGTTTTTCCACTACCTTGCCCTCCTTTGTTTCCAGAACACTTAAGTTACAGTAACGTTTCATTCCTTATAGTCAACATTAATCAACAGAAGAACTGATTCAAAGATTCTATAAAAGAAGTTTTACACAGGAAGGATAACGAGTAATCTTCTTGCAGAACCTCTTTTGTGGTTATAAAAATATTAGTCAGACAGTACTGGCAGTTGTCCCACAAGGATAAAGAGCTTACCCTGACAGAGAGCTTGCTTTGAAAGCACTGCCACAGAGGCTCCAAATGTGGGATCACTGACCCCACATATTGGCACACTCCTGGTGCAGGTATCAAAGCCATATTAATCACTTGCTGTGCAAGAAGAACTTCTTTTGAACAACTGTTAATTTCCCAGCTGGAGACTCCATTGGCTGCCTCCTGTTCTTGTGCTATGAAGCAAGGAGAAGTAGGTGGCCCTATTCCCTGCCATGCAGTGCCATCTGTGAGAAGGGTGGCTCAGCTGGCTGGGCAGAGAAACAATGTGTGAAAATGTAATTGAATCTCACGAGTTAATAGCCATGACTCTGCCCCCAGCAAGCAGGGCTCTTGGTGAAGGGCAAGTCCTGGATCAAAGTTGAAGCACATGCTGAATACACATTTAAGAACACGACTTGGACATCTGTAATACAGGCAGAATGGTCATTACCTTAGGTAGTTCTTCAATTTGATTGGCATCTAGGTAAAGCTCCTCTAATGTCCGTTCAAAGTTAAAAACCTCCTTTGGCACCTGCTGGAGGCCACAGTGGGAGTAATCCAACACCGAGACGATTTCCTCCTCGCCACGAAAACACCGGCAGGGCACCAAGCGGCCGATGATTTTCCTTTTGGTTGTCATCTCCAAACAGCATACTGAAGAAAAAGGGGAAAAAACAGTTTTCTGGAACTATCAGCATTTTGAGGACTATTTCTTTAGAATGATTACCAAGACTGCAGTCCATTTGGTGCAGTTTTTCCTGACAGATTCCTGTAGTTTGCATACTGAATTTCTTTCTCTACCTTTCCACAAAAGATGAAAAAGTGAGATTTGTTGGATTAGTCACAGAACCATCATGGTTGGAAAGGACCTCAGAGATCACTGAGTCCAAACATCACCAAAGGAAATCTCAATACATCATCTGCTCCCCTACACAGAACAGAATATGCCAAGACCATCCACAACTGTTGTTTTCCCTAATGATGAAAATTAGCCCTGTAAATCCTGCACATACGAACACGTTCATCAGACGACGTACAAGATAACCCTTGTGTTCCATGTTTTGGTCCCTTGCTTAGTTTGGACTGTGAATCACTGAAGTGAACCAGAACCTGGTTGCATCATACCTGATTTCTCTGAAATCAGCAGAGTTCCTTAGTTTTCCACAGTTACCACTGGAGTATGTTCACTGTCTTTTCAACCATATGAATAAGGAAAAGGATATGGAAACTTAATTGGTTACAAAACTAGAACAAAAGTAACCCCAAACCAGGCTGTTTGAAATTCACCACAGTCTGTTGCTTAACTTCTCCTAACCTAGATGCTAAGTTCTACAGATCTTCCTTTCCTGCAGTTTGTATGCCCATGCCTAACTCGTATGGGCAACAGCTCACACCACTGTATATTATTACCCTTTTCCATTGGAATAAAATACTGTCATTCATTACTCTTGAATGGAGAGAACACTCAATAAGCACCTTTGATACATGTCAAGGAGCCTCTACATCTGGAACAGGTATCAACAGTTTTAGAAGTTATTTTAATGTGATTATAGATAAATCAGTCTGACCTGAAACATATTGCCACAAAGTCAAGGAGGGCTAAACCTAAACCTCCCATTTTCTAAACCAGTGACAAGGTTTTGAGTTACATTTATGAAAAGAAAGCACAAATTAGTCCAAGCAAAGCTCACCAGGATCCTCTTTCACTGGATGCCAGCAAAAAAAAAGTACCCGTATATTCATACAAAACATCAGTGGAGATAATTCACATTGCTTAAGACATTATTTTTCCAACATGCAAGGTAAGAAAAAATGATTAGTCAGATAATGCTCCAATCATGATTCTCTGTGACTTTTTTTCAGCATACGTTGACATTTTCAAGGTAAATAAAAGAATCAAATGTGTTATTTCCTTGTTTCAAATGTTGCTAGCACCTCATCCACATGCAGCAATGCCCCTGAGATGAGCACACGGGTACTGTCAGAATAAATGCTGTTTCCTAGTGTTCTCAGAAAGAAGAGATGTTGAAACAAACAGGAGTGAAACCGGAGTACAGCTGGTTATTCGTTTGGCAGTGCCAGTGACAGGCTTCCTGCTTTTGGCTTAAGGGTTAAGCTTACAACAGAGAAAAGGGTTTAGGAATTTTCTAATGCAGCTTGACCAGATGCCAAGTTCCTGGGTACAACTTAACAGTTGTACCTTAATTACAGTCAGCTGATGGAATGCAAACATCTGCGTAACACAGTGTACCTGAACTTCTGGAAATGTAAAAATAGAGCCCTTAGAGGTATGAAAAAAGAAGCTGTTCATTTACAAGCTAATACATCAGAAAAGCTAAGTTTTATTTCAGCTCAGTGGTAAAGTTCCTGCAGAACACCAACAGCCCCATAGCTGAAATGCACAAATGCCACACGCTGCTCACTTTTAACTCTGAGAACTTTGGTTTTAAATGTTCCTCATTTGAATTGCCTATACCAGAACACTGGATCCCCACTCAGATTTCTTACAGAACACTGTGGTTAAACCTAGGTTCTTGATTGGCACTCCAAGCTTCCTGAGAAAGTAATGTTTATTTTAACATTGCCCCTAATTTTCCTCCAGAAACAATGATCTTGCTTATTTAGCTTCTACACTGTTGGGCCATTTCCAGCCCATTTGGGAGGAAATTACTTTTGGCATTTTTCTCAACTTCAAAAACTCATAGAATCCCAGACTGGTCTGGGTTGGAAGGGACCTTAAAGACCATCCAGTGCCACCCCTGCATGGGCAGGGACACCTCCCACCAGCCCAGGCTGCTCCAAGCCCCATCCAACCTGCCCTTCAACACTGCCAGGGATGGGCCAGCCACAGCCTCCCTAGGCAGCCTGGGCCAGAAGCCCACAGTATGTTCTTCACCAGAAATATGAAATCAGCTGCACAGCCTCTTTGTATTCAAGCATAGGAAGTTGCATTTGCAACTGCATATTTCAAACCTTGACACAATAAAAATAAATGCCCATGGAGTATCAAATTATTTGTAGCTTTTCAAACTATTTGAAGATAATGAACAATTGAACAGCGACATGTACTTCAAAAATTACCCAGAAAAACACTCATCCCAGAGGCATTCCAAAGCACTCAGCTTTGCATTATTCCCCTCTACTGGAGGCACATACATGAGAAACCTGGTTGCATTTGAACAGAAACTCAGAACAATCACATCACCAGAGAAGAGCCAGAAAGTGTATAAATAGTGAAGTGATAAAATTTTACTAAAAATAGCAAATACAACAGCAAAAACTTTTTTAAAATAGTTTTTCTTTTGCTTTTGTAAAAAAAACTGTTTCCATTGCTGCAGTTTATAAAAATAAATGTAATTTCTTATTCAATACAAAATTGTTCTAAAAATATTTTTTTTAATTGCAGATTTTAGAAAAAAGTGATTTAATTACTTTGCCTTCCCTAAAAGCTGTGCTAAGACAGGATAAATTAAGTTGCTGACATTAATTGGTTGCCTATTGGAAATGTCTTTTTTTGAGAAACATAAACCCAAACCAGAAGGTGAATTGGATAGATGAGCAATTTGTAGTTAAAAAGATCAATACTGGAATAAGAAAGGTAGTTAAAACCTGAATTCAGGTGCATTGCTAAGATTTTGTGAGAAAAGTTAGTAGGAAGTAATTCCACCATAGAAACTGCTGCTTATAGAATATTTGCTGGAAGAATGGCCATGGGATAGTACTTAAATATATTTTGATAAGTGGGTTTGTATGTGTCCACAGTCTGCTCCACCATTTACCCTTTGTAACTAAAAAGAAAACAAACCAAAATGCTGAAGAAACAGTAAAATTAAAATCCCCTGGGATTGTTCTTTGCAATCATCTCAGAAAGCATCAGTACAGAATTTAGGACCTGTTGTACAATTGAAAGGAGTAAAATTTCATGCCCTGTGGACTAATGGTAATTAAACTCTTTCTTAATTTCTGTGTTATTAATTAATAACCTGGACTAATTCAAGCTTTGGTAATTACACTTCTCTTACCTACATTTTATTCCTTCATCATTTTCATGAAGCCCTGCTTGTGTTCTGGTGGTTACTGGCTGTAAGAGGATTGTTACTTGAGAGCCTTGGGAACAAAACTTCAGTCCAACAGAGTCAACAGGAAGCTCAAGTCCCAGCTTGGGGAAGGTGACTCACCAGACACCTTTGCTGCTTGAGAAAATTCCTCAATCCCTGAAAGTGGTAAAGTCATCCCACTTCCCCAGAGAAACACCAGTTCTTGGTGTTTTCCCCCTTTAAAGTAGGTAGGGAAAGCAACACAACTCTCCATAGCTCAGTATGAGAGTCATTGCTCACCCTATGTCACATGCTGGACATGGAGGATTTACACTCTGAAAGATTTATAGCTCAGTCAAAAATACAGAAATTTCAGGTTGTCTTTTGAGTCTCACATACAAAACCACTTCATTTTCACAATCCATCAGAGCATACACAGAAATGCTCAGCAACTTGGAAAGCTGGAGAGCCTGTCCTGCAAAGGCAAAGGGAAGAGGGGGATCTTTTCCAGTGCAGACCTAGGATAAAATGTACATCCTTGTTTTTGGTAATGTACCATTTTTCAACAGTTCAGGAAAAAAAAACAAACAACAAACATGAAACACAAATGCATTTTTCACCAGAGAAGCTTAAAAATGTTATTAGTTGTTTTCTGAATGCTTTTAAAAATGTTTGTTATTTCTTGAATTAAAGAAACTATGAAACAAGCATAAATAAGCTGCTGTTTATCAGCTTCATAAAAGCACATAATCATCTTCAGTTTATTATTTTATAAAGTAAATCCTTAATCTAAGAAAAGCAAATGTTTTATGGAAATTAGTTACAATAAAATCTGATCTCTTCTCAATTAATGGATTTTTCTGCAGTAAAATCACTAATCCCTGTTCCTTAGCAATCATGAGAGATGTTCTTACCTACTTAAAAGGCAGAGAAAATGGTTGTGTGGCTCACAAAACTAATTTAAAGATGGAACAAAATAGCTCAACAACTTCAAAACTTCAGCTGTCTTGAAAGAATAGGAGAGGCAGCAGTTTTCATCAGCAGACAATAGAGAAGAGTTTATTTTTTCATCTCAGAAACTTTTCTCTCTGCAATGAGCCTACACATCAGCAGATAAAGCCATTTTGCTTTTTTTCCCCTCCTCACAAAGTAACAAAAATTTGCCTAAAAACCTCCACAACTAAAAATGCCCTATCTCTCTGAAAATGTTTTCATCCAATTAGTTAAGTTTCATCTTAAAATGTGCAAAGTGTTACCTTCAATGTGCTTTACTCTTCGATTACCAGTGTTCAAAAACCAGTAAGAACAAGTAGGAAATGGCAGTTACTGGACAAGCAATTCCAGAGTTGCAACCTAAAATCTAATTTCAAATCACCTTAAGGAATCCACTCATTTCTTGTTGGTTGTGCATTTAAATTAAGAAATCCCAAATACCATGTTTGAGAGATGACTGTTATTATGAAGTTAACTCTCTAGATCATCTTAGACCTGCAAAATTCTGATTGCCTATATGTATACACATGCTGAAATAACCCAAACCAAAACAAAAAAATTAAACACACACACAAAAAAAGCAGGGTAGAAAGCCTTGATAGACTACTTTAAAGAGCTTTGTGATTCATAGATGGTTTGGTTTCCACCAGGCTCACTGGTTTCTGTCAAGCATGACAAGAATCATTCTGTTTCCATAAGGAAACCAGCTCCTAAAATGATGGGTACTACTGAATTTTATGGAGCTCATTCTTTAAAAGAATGCTATATAATCCTTTATTTAAAAAACAGTTACAACAATGAAATACAGTTGTTGGTTTTTTTAGATGGATGCCTGTAGAAAATAGAAAATGCCCTGACAAAGAAGCACCAGGTGTAGATTTTGCAGCACATTGGGCTGAAGGGACATTCTGAGCAAAAACAGATGAGAAATGAGGGTGACACTGACATTGTATGTTTTTATCCCACTACACAGCCAGGATTGATTATCTTCACCCAGCCTTAAGCCTGCTCTCCTGCTCCAGGTTCCCCAGGATTGCTGTGGGTTGACATGCTGAGCACTGCCCCATAGGTACATGTTCTTCAAGCCCTTGAAAGTCTTAATTAACACCAAGTAACCTTAAGCCATTTCAGGCAGTTTTAATTCTTAGAAGCAAAAAATACTTTTCTGACATCTTTTTCTAAAGTGTCAAGTAGCTACATAAGGAAAAGAGGTAGTTTGAATGCTACTGTAAAAAACTCCAGCTTTGCCTCTGTGTAGCTGGTAGCATAAGTCAGCTTCTCACTTTCAGTTTTCCAGGATAGATTAATTATGGATTTAATTTTTCTTGCAAACAAGTTTTTGATGTAACACCTCATTTAAGTATTCATACTTCAGGGAGGTCTTAGCCCCCCCAGTGCCATAGGCAATGCCCTGAGCTGAAATTCAAACTAACAAATGCTGTAGGAGCAGCCTGTGTTGTCTGGCAAGGTATCCCACATAAAATTGGTCACACTCCTTTGACATTTAATTCAGAAAACTGCAAGAAATTGCAAAGTTTACGTGATCTTACTGAGGAATCCTGAAAAATCAGAAAATATTAATTACATTCAAAGCAGCAGACAATTCACTTCACTGATTTCTTTGTCATGTAGCACAGAGAAGTGATGGTTTTCTGTTCCTATTTTCTTTGTCTTACTATCAGCATAATCAACAACATTAATATGCTAATACGTTGGCTCTTTGCAGTGAGTTATACGACCAAGCTTAGAAATCACAAATACATCAGTCCCTAAGCCAACCACAGTTTCCCTCATCTCCAAGTTCTCCCAGGGTCTCCCTTCACTCCAGAAGGGACAAAAGCAGAGAGCATTTC